TCATTACTCTCTGCCTCACTAGTGGCCTTGGATCTAACTCCTCTTCATCTCTGGAAACCTAAAACAGTGGCTTTTAGCCTCCGATGAAAGCCTTGTTCTAGAAAATGTGTTCAATGCATACTTTTCTTTTAACTTATTATTTTGAAATAATTTCAGACTTACAGAAAGAATTTGCAAGAATTGTACAAAGAACTAGATACTCTTAGCCTAGATTTGCTAATTGTTTTTGCCACGTTAGCTTTTTCTTTTCCCCTCTATATGTGTGTGTATATATTTTTTTCTGAATCACTTAAGTTGTAGACATCATGCCCTTTACTTCTAAATATTTAAGCAAATACATTTCTGAATTCCTGAAATCCATCTATGGACTCCTAGAGGTCCATGAGTCCTGGCCTAAGAACCCCCGTCTGCAACCAAGACTAGGCTCTTCCCCACTGTGACTGTGGGCCCCCTTCTCTCCCTCAGGAGGAGCCTGCACCATTGCCTGTTCTCCCAGGCCCCCTCCCCAACCCATCCAGTGGTATGTACCGAGTTCTGTCCCTACTCTCCCCAAACCTTGGGTTGCTCCTGGGAAAGGTGCAGGGAATGGAGGATTGGAATCTCAACACACTCTCCTCCCTAGCAGAGTTCCAGAGTGGTACCTCCCTGGACCATAGCAGCTGGGCAGCCTTCTCCACTTCCCCATCTTCTTCTGGAACCCCCTTGTCTCCTGGAAACCCATTTTCTCCTGGAACCCCTGTTTTCCCAAGTCCCATCTTCCCCATCACTTCTCCCCCATATCATCCCAGCCCCTCCCCATTTTCTCCAATTTCTTCCCAGGTTTCAAATCTCTCTCCACACCCCCCCAGCTCTCCACTTCCATTCTCCCCCAGTGCATCCCAGTTTCCAATCCCAGCCTCTCAGTTTCCACAGAGTCCTCTCCTCCCCAGTTCTCCACCTGCCTTCTCTCCCAGCTGTTCCCAGGCCACTCTTGTGCCTCATTCCTTTCCTCCATGCTCCTCCTCCTCCTCCCCTCTCCCCTCCACAACAGCCCCTCTTCTCTCTCTGGCTAGTGCCTTCTCACTGGCTGTGATGACTGTGGCCCAGTCCCTACTGTCCCCCTCGCCAGGGCTCCTTTCCCAGTCTCCTCCAGCTCCTCCCTTATCAAGCCTACCCTCTCCCCCTCCCCTTGATCCCTGTGGCCAGGAGAGGCCTTCACCTTTGACAGCTGAGTTGGAGAGTGAGGTGAGTAGGAAACCAGGGGGGATGTTTAAGGGAGCTCAATTCTGGAGAATTTCTCTCCTCATGGACCACACTTTGTAGGCCTCCCCAAATCCTGCTCGGCCACTCCTGGGTGAAGCCAGACTGGCACCCATCTCTGAAGGTGAGGCCTCTGACCATTGATCTTCCCCTGCCCGTTATCCTCAGTCCATTTTATATTCCGCCACTGATTTCTCTCCCTCCTTCCATGACTCCTTCCTGTCTCTCCACAGAGGGAAAGCCCCAGCTTGTTGGGCGTTTCCAAGTGACTTCATCCAAAGAACCAGCTGAGCCTCTTTCCCTGCAACCAACATCCCCAACTCTCTCTGATTCCCTGAAGCCTCCAACCCCTCAGCTGACCTCAGAAAGCTCAGACACAGAGGATAGTACTGGAGACGAGCCAGAGGCCAGGGAGGCTCTGGCCGAGAGTGACCGTGCAGCCGAGGGCTTGGGAGCTGGAGTGGAGGAGGAAAGGGACAGTGGGAAGGAATCCCAAGTGGGGGACAGCTCCCCACTCCTGAGCCATCCCAGCCCAGTGTGGATAAACTACTCCTATAGCAGCCTGTGTCTGAGCAGTGAGGAATCAGAGAGCAGCGGGGAGGATGAGGAATTCTGGGCTGAGCTGCAGAGTCTTCGGCAGAAGTGAGTCTGGGGAGGATGGAGGACAAGAAGTGGACTTGGGAGAGCAAAATGTGTGGCTAGCTCCCTCATGCTCCTGGTGCATCCTCAGGCACTTGTCAGAGGTGGAGGCCCTACAGACACTACAGAAAAAGGAAATTGAGGACTTGTACAGCAGGCTTGGGAAGCAGCCCCCACCGGGTATCGTGGCCCCTGCTGCTATGCTGTCCAGCCGCCAGCGCCGCCTCTCCAAGGGCAGCTTCCCCACTTCCCGACGCAACAGCCTGCAGCGTTCCGAGCCCCCAGGCCCTGGTGAGACTGCAGTTGCCAGGTTCCATCTTCCCAGTCCTCTTCCCTAGTGATGCAGCTTTCTTTCAGGCCCTGGGGGTCTGCCCTTGGTTTGGGGGGACTAGCCCCCTTCTCCCCGTGGCCCCTTCCCTCACTTAGTGCTCTCCCTCCCCATCCTACACCCAGGCATCATACGAAGGAACTCCCTGAGTGGCAGCAGCACCGGCTCCCAGGAGCAGCGGGCAAGCAAGGGGGTGACATTCGCCGGGGATGTTGGCAGGATGGTGAGGGCGGGCCCAAGGGAGGGAGAGTCCAGGGAATGGTATCTGGCTGTAGCTTCACTCTCCGCCCACCCTGGAGGTTTCTTCAGTGCTTTTTCTTTTCCCTCCAGTGAATTCAGAATAGAAGCCATGCGTCTCCCCCACACCAGGACCCACCATGGAGCTTGTGCTCTCAGAATCTGCTAATCAGTACAACTCTGCAAGGAAGACCTCAGCACTGAGGGAGTAGAAGGACAAAAGGGCATGGAGAGTGCTGTTCCATTATAGGGAAAAGCCAAGCATGTGAGAACTATTTGCTGTGTGTAGAAAGTATAAATTCTGCAGCCTGCTACCTCCCCAGCCAAGAGCCAACCACTAAGCAATCCCACCCAAACACAGATGCTTTCACAGGGCACACTCCCAGCTGGGCAAATGGACACCGGAATTAACAGCCAATAAAAATGCTGGAAACTCAGACTCCAAATTTGTATCTGTCAGGCCTTGAGAACTGGGGGCAAAGGCTTATGGGGTTGGGAAGGGGAGGACTTAGAAGGGAATCTCCTCTCACAATAGGAGGCAGGGCTAGAAGCTGCCCAGCCTTCTGGCTTCCTGCCAGCAGTTCATGAGGAAACTGCAAAGTCAGTGATCCACCTCACCATCTCGATCCCACCTTAGGCCTGCACAGGCAGGCCCCAATGGAAGTTAAAAAAAAAAATGAAAGCTGTCCCTTATCCTTCATCTACCTTTCTTTCTAGGGTGGGAAAGGCAATAAAGTTGGAGGGTGTTGTAGGATGAAGGACAGAGTGACCTTTCTTCCCCCAAGATGTGGTTCAGTCTCAAACAGCCCAGTGACCCACCATGAGCTCTCCCTTAAATCAGGTGGAAAGATCTCACGGAAAAAGTAATTCTAGTTAAACATTTACGGCTCCCTGGGGCAATGCCACTATGCTGCAGCTACTGCCCGTGGAGCTTTCCAGCATGAAGTGTCAGCCCCAACACACTCACCTGACTCCAAGAGAGATGACTCAGTTTATTATTCTCAACCTGACCCCATCTTTCCTACAGTCTCCAACACCGCACAGAGCTGCCATGCCCACTCCCATAACAGCCCACCTCTTGCCCTCCTTCCTCCCAGCCCCTGGGAAGTGAAGGGGATAAACCACAAAGTCAGAACATTTGGGAAAAGCCAAGGTTAGATAACTTGCAAAAAAACCCAAACAAAACAAACGATAAGGGCTCAGCTACCACAAACAGCGAGTGTGAGGTGGGCAATGTTCCTTTGACGATGGCCAACTGTGTAAATCCCTGGCTTCTTGGGGCTGATCATTGTCCAAGGTCAGTAAGGTGGCCAGCAATGCAGTGAGCAGGCTTCAGCGTCTACAGGTCATGGGGCATCATCCATCACGGGAAGGGGCTCCAGCAGGTTAGAGACGTGCAATGCCCAAGTGGATCAGGAGCCTGAAGCCCTTTCCGCAGCTCGGGCTCGAGCAGCTTTGACCTCATCCTCCAGCTCATCTAGGAACCGCTCCTGGGACACTGAGTAGAAGGTGTAACCATCTGGGGCGGCTGGTTAGGGAAACCACTTGGAACATGCACATTCCCTTTTCCTAGACTTGCTTCCACCACTTCTTAATCTCTCATCCTCCTAATTCTGTAGCCCTCTGTTCTTCCAAGCCCTGACCCATTCTTTTTTTTTTTTTCCAAAGAGGAAGGGAAAGGGAGAAACATCCAGAGAGAGAATCATTGATTGGCTGCTTCCTGCACGCCCCCCACTGGGGATCTAGCCCACAACCTGGGCATGTGCCCTGACCTCCTGGTTTATAGGTCAACACTAAACCACTGAGCCATGCCGGTGGGCTGACCCGTTATTTACTTATTTATTTTTTTTCAGAGGGAGAGAGACAGAAACATTAATGATGAGAATCACTGATTGGTTGCCTCCTGCACGCCCCCTACTGGGATAGAACCCGCAACCCAGGCATGTGCCCTTGACTGGAATTGAACCCGGGACTCTTGTCCCCAGGCTACGCTCTATCCACTGAGCAAAACAGGCTAGGGCGGACCTGTTATTCTTAATTAATTATATTAAAATAGAACCTTAAAGTGACAGAGTAAGGTACATTAAACGCTTGGCTCCGCGGTTTGATTTTCCCAGATCAGGCTCTTTCTACCACCCCCATACTGCCCTCGACACGTCACTGCTCCCCTTCTCTTGCTCCCACATGCGGTCTCCCTGAGTCTACAGTCCAGGCGGATACAAATAGCTAACACCAGGGCCCCGATGCTCAGGCCGGTCACGATGTTCCGGGTCCGCCGCTGTGGCAGAGTCTTCTGCCACTGGGCGAGCTGCACCTGCCGCATGAACTGTAGCTGCGCAGGAGTCAGCTTCTCCCGAGTCGGGTCAATGCGCTGGGCCAGAGGGGCCTCTCCACTCTTCGCATCCAGACGGTCACCAGCTCCCGGCGCCGCCATATTGCCGCTCCGCCCTTCGCAGTCCGGGGGCGCGGAGCTTGCTGGGAATAGCAGCCCTTCGCTTCCGCAGGGGACGCTGGGAGCTGTAGTCCGCGTTTTCTTTCACCAACTGAGCGGCTCTCGGTCTGAGGGAAAGGGCGTGGGAGACGTAAAACGGACGTGCTTTCTGATTGGCTGAGGGGTCCACGGCCGTTGTGGCGGGAAAAGGCGGTGGAGAGCTCGAGGCTGTGGTGGGAATTGAGTTTTCCTCAGCCTTGAGGCGAGGACAAGCACACAGAAGAGGGGAACGAACCCAGAGTGTGACAGAAGGCTCTGGGGTGACGCTAAGGAGATCGGTGTAAGGGTCCAGTGAGCCGTCGGGGTGTCCACGAAGGCTTCTGAAAATGGACGGACGTGGGAGGCCAAGATTGGCCTCTGTGAGCGAGTTTCAGTTTGGAGCTGTCGCCACCGAGACCATCGAGGACGCTCTGCTCCACCTGGCCCAGCAGAACGAGCAAGCGGTGCAGGAGTCGGCAGGCTGGATGGGCAGCTTCCGGGAGCCCCGCATCGTGGGTGTGAACGCGGGGCCGGCCGGGAGCTGGGTTGAGGGGGGACGGGGGCACCTGTCTCGGAGGCGCCAATTCTGAGATTCAGTGTAGTTCCTTAATTCAAAGAAGTTGTTGTATGCCAGGAGCTGGGGAAATAGTGGTGAATAAGACACACCAGCACCCTACCCTTGATTTCCAAATGTATATTTAGTATCCGTGCTGCTGGGGTAGAAGATGAGACATAGTCCCTGCTTTCAAACCATGAATGTAATCCTTGGAGAATAGTAGGACAAACCTGCAAATGCTTAGGTACAAGTGCGGTTAAATAAGTGACCTTCTAGATAAAAAAACAAGCTTCTGGGGGGACTAACACGGGTGAGGGCTGAGTGGGGCAGGAGGAAGTAAAGGCGTCACCATGGCTTTAGGCCTCGAAGGGAAGGTGACATTTCGTTGGCAAAGACGGGGAAGGGGTCCTGTGAGCGAAGCCGTGGAGGTGGGGGCGCGGGGTCAGCGTGGGCACAGCGTGGCCCGGGTTGGCCAGGGCACGCGGAGAAGGCGTGGAAACCAGGACCAGAGGGCGGTTTGGAGACAGTCCACGTGGGGCCGTGGGCGCCGAGGCGGGAGCGTATCCCGGGGAGGAGAGGAGAAGGCGGGGTGCTAATGGGGTGCGATGAACGGGAACCTCGGCCTTAGGAAGGGTCTCTGGGCCGTGGCGGGAGGACGGATGGGAGGTGACAGGGCCGAGGGAGCGACAGGGACGGTGGGTGACACCTCCCAGCGGTGAAAGGCAGGTCCCGAGGTGGGTGCGCTCAGGACATGAGGAGGCCAAGGAGGCGACTGTGCCGCGGAGACTGGGGCTGCAGGGAAACACCGCAAAACGGAGGGCGGCGGCTTTTGGCCGGGACAGAGAATGACTCTGGTTTTGACTCAGGTGCTCGTGAAGCCCGGAGGAAGGTTCCCGGCCGGCCGTCTGGAAGGTGCGAGAAGTCAGACTGGAGGTCCGGCCTTGGGAGTTGCCGCCATGACGGGACGGCAGCGGCCGGGGGTGAGCCCCTCGAGGGGGAAAGGAGAAGGTCGAGGACGGCCCCCTGGGGAGCGTGTTGTGTGCAGGAGCCTGGAGGACGGAGAAGAGCCGCGAAGGAAGTGAAAGGGGGGTTTGGAGCCCAGAGGCCTCCGGGAGCCCGGGCGCTTCCGGAAGGAGATGAACCGCCGGAAGGAGGCGGCCAAGGGGCCACGACGCCTGACAACGTGGACGCGTTCGCTGGCCTTGGAGACCACCGTTTCGGCAAGTTGGGAAAAGGAGAAGCCGGACGGCGGAAATGAGGGCCTGAATGACAAGGGGGAAGCGGCAGGTGGAACCAGGCTTCCGGGAAGTGAGAAGAAGCCCGCGCCGGAGAGGACGGAAGGGGCGGGTTTTCAGTGAAGAGTCGGTCCGAGCGTCTGTCAGGGCGGGAGGCGGAGCCGGCAGCTCGGGCGGGTGTCACCCTCACCGTCACCTAACCCGGGCCCAGTTTCCTTGGCAGATTAAAATGGAAAATAGAGACAATTGCCCAGATAACTCAGACCAAAACCAAACCAAACAACTGCGCGCGCGCACACACACACACACACACACACACACATACACACACAGAAAACCTCAACGCCATTAAATAATAGGATCGGCTAATCACACACAATTATTCTAGAGCATTGCTTAATTGCTTAAACAAATTCTCTTCATTGGACACTGGTAGCAGAGCTTTAGTCTTTGTACCGATAAGGTTGTGTACATACACCTATGTCTGTCATGTGTTGAGTAGGTGTTAAATTATCTTGTGCTAACTTGACTTTTATAGTTGTTTTTTTTCCCCCTAAGAAAGTCAAATTTTCTCTGAAGACATATGGTAATTTGATTGTATGTACTTCTTTACCGATCAGTGCCAAAAGTTCCCAGTTCTGCAGCTTTCTGGATTGAGAACTAACATTTACCCTTGTGTCCGCCCTCTAACGATATTGCAAACTAAATAAAATTCTATCTGGGGCGGTTCTTTCAAAGAGAAACAGGCAGCCTTAAATCTTGCCAAGGTATCTTGCCCTTCCCACCTTCCCAGTGACTCCCCCACCTCCCAAATTGGGCTCTGTTCCCTGATTTGGAGGATGTTTCTTCAAAACAAGCCACGCCACCCTAACAACCTTGCTCCTGGGAGGGGCTCAGCCACCACAGATTTACCCAACAAACTGGTGGTGGAGAGATGGTGTCCAGCTGTAAGGTGAAACGTGTTTGTAAAGCAATGGGAGTTCTCCAGAGGGTGGTTACTAAACAAACAGTATTATAAAGAATATTGTAGCTCCAGGAGGGACCTTTCTGTTCCTGTCAACATTCCACTGCAAACAGAATATAAGGGTTAGGATTTTTATCCATCCAAGACTCACCCTTGAAGCTGGGGGTTCCCAGCATGGTGCAGAGGCCAATTAGAACAGCTGGTATGTTTGCGTGTAGCTGGCTAAGCCTTTCATCAGCTGAGACCCACAGGAAGGCTCCAGGGTCACTGAGGGGGCTTGGTAAGCCCTTGTCTTTGGCACGCAGTCAGCCTCCTTTTCATGCCTCTGATCTGCCTATTGGCAGCAAAAGGAACTAATCTCAGCTTGGGTTGTTTCAGTCTCATCTTTCTCACCTCCCGACCCCCTTCCCTTGGCCTCATCATGGCTTTTACACAACGCCAAGAGTTCACAGAGTGGTTTTGGTTGCACCTTGTGAATTAGGCTCTTCTTTTCTGTTTTGGCAGAGTTTGTTTTTCTCCTGTCTGAACAATGGTGTCTGGAGAAATCCGTGAGCTACCAGGCTGTAGAAATCCTAGAAAGGTAAAGCCCTGAGCATAAGGCCTTTGTAGTGGTACCTCTCAGAATGACCAATATATCCAAATCTTAAATAAAAAAAATACACACCCAAAATAGTACGAGTTGCCCCTTACCATGAGACCTGGTTTTGCACCCTCTAGTGCAAATGTAAATTTCTTAGCCGACGATTGGTATTGGCGAGGATAAGATGTAGCATAATTTGAAGCAGAAACACCCTTTAGTTTCAGTGAGTGTGGATGATTTATTTTCCCCTTCCTTTCTTTTTAGGTTTATGGTTAAGCAGGCAGAGAATATCTGCAGACAAGCCACAATCCAGCTAAGGGATAAGACAGTGCCTCAGAACTGGAGGGCTCTGAAAGAGCAGCTTTTCAACAAATTTATCCTGCGTCTTGTGTCATGTGTTCAGCTGGCAAGCAAACTTTCTTTCCACTACAAAGTAAGGAGCTGGGGTTGCTCATGGGCACCTGAGTGTTAGAAAGAAACGGGCTCATTCAAAGGTGACTGTGAGAAACATACTCCTAGGCTAGGTGATACTACTCATGTGGAAATTCCAGAGTTTAATTATGCTTCCTAAGCATACCACACACACACACACACACACACACACACACACACACACAATGTGGAAATTCCAGAGTTTAATTATGCTTCCTAAGCATACCACACACACACACACACACACACACACACACACACACACACACACACAGACACATAGAGGCAGTTATTAAATAGCCTGAAGTTCTGTTCCCAAGGTATAATTGCTGGACAGAGGCCATTGTTCATACAGGTCACCTTTTCTCCCCTTGGACTCAAGGACAGTTTACATAAAATGTCTGAACTGCCAACATATCAGCATTAAAGGTAAACTATTACATTTAAAAAGGATAAAAAATTTTCCACATTACTACCCAATGTGTATATAATAAAGTATCATTCATTCAACAAATATTTATTGTCTTCTATGGCCAGATGCTTCACTAGGTGCCATGGCTGCAACAGTAAAAATATTGTCTGTGCTCTCAAGGAACTTATCCAATGAGAGAAGACACATAAGCAAATAATGTGGGGAAGTGTTCTGATTAGTGTCAATACAGAGGGCTATGAATGTACCTCATTAGCCTTGGAGAGTCAAGGAAGTGTATTTAGAGAAAATGACTTCTCAAAGGGGGAAGGGTTGGGAAGATGGGTGGATCCTAAGGGAAGAGGGAGAGGAGTTAAGAAAAGCAGGAAGAGAGAAGGGGGAGGAAAGGAGGTCCAGATACAGGAAACAGCATTGTAGAGGCTTGGGGAGCTTGGTGGGTTTGAGAGCTGCAAGTTCTATATGACAAGCATTGAGTGTAAGAGGGAATTACCAAGGGAAAAGGCAAGATGAAAGCATGGGCTGGATTGTGAAGGGTTTTTTACACTATGCCAAGATGTATCTTTACTCTGACACCCTCTCCTCTCCCTCACTGTTTTTCCTTGCCCAGATAATCAGCAACATTACAGTCCTGAATTTCCTCCAGGCTCTAGGATATCTATACACTAAAGAAGAACTGCTGGAGTCAGAGCTTGATATTTTGAAGTCCCTGAACTTCCAAATCAACCTGCCTACTCCCCTGGCATATGTGGAGATGCTCCTGGAGGTTCTAGGTAATTTATTAAGTGTTCCAGGGACTGTGCGTTGGAGTCTTCCAGAGAAGGCAATAGGAATGTACCCAAGGGTTTGGGGGCAGTGGGCAGAACCCACCAATGAGGAACAGCAGGAAGCTTGGGCTGATTGAGGGAAGTGCTCTCTCTGGTACTTGTCAGGAAAAGAAACTTAGGTCTCAGCACCTGGCTTCTGTTTGGACTCATGAGGTACTCTTACTACAGGACCAAGGAGTTGATTTTATAGAGAGGCATGAGATAAGAGGGGAACAAACAAATATACTCTAATTGCATATGGAGATTTTTCTACCTTTCCCTTTGTCCTTTAAAATGGACTTCCAGCTGAAGAGGTTTCTTATAGTAAAGCAAAGCAACCAGGAAGCACCTTAGCAGCTCAACAGTTTTATGATCCGTGATTATGATCAGAAAAGACCCGAATAATGCTCTTTACCATGCCCATACTCCATCTAGGATACAATGGCTGTTTGGTCCCAGCCACACAGCTGCATGCAACCTGCCTAACCCTGCTCGACCTAGTCTATCTTCTGCATGAACCCATATATGAGAGCCTGCTGAGGGCTTCAATTGAGAACTCCACACCCAGTCAGCTACAAGGGTAAGGCAACCCCTTTAGCATAGGCTCCTTCCAGAAACAGAGTCCAGAATGTAGCATGAGAACTTGGGGAATGGAATTTACCTAGCGAGGCATCCAATCCACAGATAACCTGCACAGGTTATCTGGTTCAAATTAACGTCCGGTATGTTGCCTGGATGCAGATGACTGAGCCCAATCAGCAAAACTCTAAATGTTTTCACTTTTAAATTTAAATGACTTCAAGTAATTATTTCCTAGTTCTTTCTTTATAGCTGTTTATAATTGGAGATTACCTGACTGCTTTTATAGTCACTTGGGGAATAAAAGCCAGTCACAAGGTTGCAACTTGGACAAAAGTGTTTGATTACTGTAAAGTCAGAATAGTAAAAAGCCTCACAATTACATTTGTTAGGGAGACAGAAGGAACAACAAAAGGCCTATAAACCAGACAGGAGGCTCATGTTTAAATCCCAGTTGATTTGAGGGAGGCTGGGAGAAGGTCAATTAACTATTACTTGACCATTTCCTTCCATGTCTAAAAAATCCACGATGATCAACAATTGAAGTTCCATGACCCTGAGATTTGGAAGATCAAATTTCAGCTCCAAAATTAATAATGGTTTTAATCACTCAGGGAAAAGTTTGTTTCAGTGAAGGAAGACTTCATGCTATTGGCAGTAGGAATCATTGCAGCAAGTGCCTTCATCCAAAACCATGTGTGTTGGAGCCAGGTATGCATCACTGAGCAGGACCAGCATGGTCAGAATTCATTTAATAGAAAGCATTCTCCCATTAGTTAAAGGAAAACAGAAGACTATAAAAGGTAAGTGCCAAGACCCAGGATTGAGATGATTGAGCGGGATTTGGGAAAGGAAAAACTAGGTTAGGACTGAAGTGTTCTCTAGTTTTCCTCTTACAAAATTAGAAATGGAGGTCCAAGTTCAGCTTGCTCATTTCTCTTTATGATGATAATCTGCTAACATGTTAAAGTCTAATAAATATATCCTCCCAAATATCACTCTTACCTTTCACAAAACTTATCTCCAGCCCAGTGAAATGTCTAGTAGAAACTTTCCACACTAACACCATCAGGGCAAATGTATCCTAGTGTAGTTTGGCTATTGGCAAACACTGGGGTCTGGATTTAATCTTCTCTGTAAATACAGAGAAACAAAAAAATTTATATTTGGCTTGAGAGACCAGCCCAAGCAATTTGTGCAGTAAAACATGTTGAGATGATTTAGTAACAAAAAATCTCTCTCTATTTCTGAAGGTTGTGGGGCACTTGCAGAGCATCACGGGTATTGCCTTGGAGAGCATTGCTGCATTCTCTTATGCAATCCTGATGCACAGCGTGGGAGCCAACACTCCGGGGCGACAGCAGCCTATTTCTCCCCACCTGGCAGCCAGAGCTCTGAGGGCTGCTGCTTCTTCCAACACATGAAGCAGACAGAATCTGCCAAATAGAAACAGCCTTCCGTCACTGCACTCACCCCTCCCTTTGTTTACTTTATATTCAGGGTACAAAAGTTTCAAGTATCTTTTGAACTGTGTTTTGTATTCCAACTTTATGCTTATTTTCCTGCATCAGAGAAAGAGTTAAAGTGGACAAACCTGTCCATTTTTCCACATCAGAATGAAAATGTAAGATGTTAAGAGAGATAGAATATTAATGAAGTTGGTTCATTTTTGTTTAACAAGATATTTATGGCTTTTCTTTTCATTGTTCCTTTCATGAGAGAATATCAGACATGGAGATTATTATTTACCAAGGGCTCAAAAACTGAGACCATCTGGGTGACCTTGACTGAGCAAGAAGGCAGCCTGTATTTCTCCTTAAAGTTAAACATCTGTTCTGTTACTAAGATCTACAAAAATAGGGTTTTCTTTACAGCTGTCTATTTTCACTAGTCTTTTTAAAAAGTAACACTAACCCATCTCTAAACATGTTTCTACAGAATTTCCACATACCTGCACTTGAACTCAATTCTCCCAGAATACAAAGTACTCTATTTTAGTTAAAGAAAAATCCAACAGTGCACCATGGGCAGTTATCAGACTGCAGCAAATCTTTTATTACAAATAATTCTCTACATAATGTCTCCAAGAGTATCAAACACCATTTCATATCTCTAACACAGAGCAGAGCAGGCATTCAGTACTAGAACCAAGTGAGAAGTGTTAAATTTCAAGCTTCTGATCACATCACACGGTGACCAAAGCTTATATGTCATTTTCTCACATTATCCAACTGTGCGTCTCATACATCTCATCGTCTCAGTGGAGACAAAAGTTTCTATTTAATATTGTTAAGTGCAGGAAGTTGAGAGAGATAAATTACAGTGAAAACACATCAATCTCAATTCAACTCAGTAACAAACAAAAACAGAAGCAAATTTAAATTAGTTGTTTAAGGTGAGAGAGGGAAAGGAAGGCATGGGGTTAAGAGTCAAAACTATAACAAAGCTGGTAGCTATACATGGCATGTGTAGCTCTGGGAACTATTTGCCATGTGATATTTTACAATAAAGTGGCTTTTGTAGATTTTTTCTTTTTTTTTCTTTTTGGTATTGTAAACGTGTTTAATAGTACCCAAAGTTAATTTAAAACTTTTCAAAGAAAACAAAATTTAAAGCCTTTAAGGCAAACATCCCGCTAAGGAAAACAGAAAGTCATTTATTATAAAACTGTGAGGACACCCAGGCAAGACCCCACTTAAGATTCGTCAGCATGAACTTGAGAGCTTTTGTCCACTGTTCCTCAGAGTTAAACTGGGTTTTGATGGAATAGGAGCCGCCGCTGCCTCCTGTGTCTTCAATCTTGCCTTTTTCCACATCCATCCTGCAGATGGACACAGCAGAGCTCATTAGAAACTGAGATCTGATTTAAGTCAGTTCAGGCAAATGGGCAGGGACTTAATCATGGGACCATTCACGTCATTTTATCTATTAAAGAACTTGGCAAGAAACGGTAGTGTATTTTGGATTTACTTGAAAGCCAAAAGTCAAGAAGGCTGTCACAAGAGCCTCATTGTCATTTGGAGTACAGGGACAGGACACACACCCAAACAGATGACAAGCCTGGAGCAGAGGGAAAGTGAGGGTTACAGTACTCCTCACTGTTTTCCTAGGCATCCCTGAGCTCATGGGAGGGAAGGGAGCAGAAAAAAAGAAACGCTTTGTTTTGGGGTGAGAGAAGCAGCTCAGCTTTACTCTCTTGAACTAAGGTCTCTATCTATCACCGGGCCCCTACACAATTTGACCAAAGGAAGCATTCCTGCACATTTCCAGGGCCTTAAGGAAAAACCTTCCTGAAATTGGAGACTGGGCAGAAGCTCCATAGCAAGAAAATCCCCCAAACTACCTAAGACAGCATTCTTTTTCTCCAGGAGTCAGGTGGTCACATTCTGTCCTACTTGCAGTATTAGATCAGTCTTTGCCCATCAGTGTCATGTGATTTTGTACCATTTCTGCTTTCCCTCCATTCATACTATGTTTTGCCTCCATTCTTACTGTCCCTTCAATTCTGCTCCATTTGGTCCCACTCTAGATTCACTCAGCAATGGGGGATACTGACCTGTAAGGAAGACAAAATCGTGTCTCGCCTTTCTCAACCTCTTCTTTGAACTGCTGCACACAGTCCAGGAAAGCCACCATGGCATGATCAAACTTGTTGTCCCAGAAAAACCGCAACCCCCCAGAACAGTATAATGGCAGCTCCTGCCCAAGAAGAGAGAATTGGCTATGGGTGTGGCACCAGGACGGGCTATCAGAGATTGTTCCCAATCCTACCAATCTCTCAAGTCATGTTCTTTCTGTATTCCACTGAAAACAGTAACCCTGGGAAAATAACAATGCACCTAGAATGTTTTTATTATCAATGGAAATGTATTAAACATCTACCTCACAGTGATTCCTTCCCCACCCTAGAGCACACATTCTCCTCTGATCTGCCTATATCCCTTCTCAACAGACTGTAAAAAACACTCATTTTCTCTCTAGGCCTCAAAGAACTAATCCTGAACTGGACAAGACATTGGCTCTTCATGAGATATTTGTCTAGGGAGGAAATGGAATAATGTCATTATCAAGAATAAACTGTTTTTTTAGGAGATATAAAAATTCTGTATTCCAGTGAAAATGGAGTTCCCAGAGTACCTTAGATTTGTCTGTCAGAGACTCCAGGTAAGAATGGTTTCCATAGGGAACAAGTCGATACCTAAAAAGGAGATGGATACAGAGATGGATATAGGGCTCCTCCAAAAGTGATTATTGGGATGTTAGAATCCAATGATTCTGAGACTTCATCCTACCTCTTTTATTATTTCCACCCTCTCTCTCACCTCCCTATAGGCTCCATGTTTAAGATTTTGCTTACTGAACAAAGTACATATATAATCGTCTGGCGGGGGCCTTTGTGAGTGAATGTCTGTTTTGGTTTAGATTTAAAAACGAAAACTGAAAATAGCTTGAGGAACGCTAAAGTTCTGGAGATACTGGTGGGCTGGGCACCACTGCAGCTCGAGGACTGCTTGATCAATAGAAAGAGCCCTATGGTGAGCGGAAAACCAGAAACAGAAAGAAAACTCCCAGGCTATTGGGAGTAAGGGTTCCTGCCATAGTGGACAGCAGTACCAGTATGGAGTACAAATTATATCAAAGACATACCATACCCCAAGAAAGGGCTACATATCTTACCTCTGAAATTTCAGACCCATCTTATTGGCCAGGGCATGGAGCAGCAACACTGTCTGGCCCCAAGCAGCATTAATCTCATTCCATTCCACAGGAACACTGGGCAAGCGACCCAGTCTGAAGTTATTAATTGTGCCAAATTGTCCACTATGCCTATAGAAGGCAAAAGGACAGGGAAAAATACAGGGAGAACTTAAAACTTAGCAACTTCTAAGACTTCCTGCTCTTACCTAAAACATAAATCTCCCTCCTTACTAGTATCTTCAGATTCATATATCCAAGTCCTTCTTGGTACTTTAAACACATGTCTACAATGTGAGTCATCTTTCCACCTGCTGCTCAGATGCCAAAGCAGAAATTGGGGCATTATCCTTGAATGCTCTCTCAGCTCTCTCCCTTCAAGAAAGTATCAAACTCTGATTTTACTTCCTAAATCTCTTTAATCTGTCCACTTCTCTCCAAACTCAATGCCATTACTCTCTTTTTCTATTTAGATTCCTACTAACAAGTTTCCTTACCAAAAATAGTACCCTCTTCTCTCAAGTCATTTCTCACATTGCAGGTAAAGTTATCACAAATGCTAATGTAATTACGTCACTTCCCTGCCTAAAATGCTTCAATGGCTCCCACTGCCTTTTTTAAATTTTATTTTATTTTTTATTGATTTCAGAGAGGGAGACGGAGAGACAGAAACATCAATGATGAGAGAGAATCGTTGATCAGCTGCCTCCTGCACGCCCCACACTGGGGGGTCAAGCCTGCAACCCAGGCATGTGCCCTGACCAGGAACTGAACCGTGACCTCCTGGTTCATAGGTTAATGCTCAACCACTGAGCTACAACAGCTGGGCTACCACTGCCTTTTGGATAAAGTCCAAATCCCTTCATGATACCTACAAGGTACTTTAGGAACTGGTAACTCTCCAGTTTCATATCCTGTCATTCTCCCCTTTACACTCTAGGCACAATAAGCTCCTTTCAGTTCTCTGAATTCACCACTCCCACTTTCCTCTGTTTCTTTGCACATGATGTTCTCTCTGACAGGAACAACCCCCTCCTCTGCAGACTTCTATTCACATCTCAGCTTAAACATCAACCTCCTCTGAGGGAAACTTTCCATGTGGCCTGCTCACATTGGGTGAAGTGCCCTTATGTGTTCCCACAGCACCCTAGATTAACCATTATCAATCTGTATTACAAGTGCCTATTACTTATTCATCTCTTCCACTAGATTATAAACAACTAGAAGGTAGAATGCATATTGTTTGCTGTTGCCATCCTAGTGCTTAGAATAGTGCCTACCACACAGTAGATGCTCAATAGATACTAGTTAAATGGATAAAACATCAAGTAAATTAATACATGACTGACCCTACAGGTAAGAAATCAGCTCCAGGCAGAGGACCAGAATTTCATGTGGCTGGAGGGCTCAGATCTGTCCCTTTCCTTGGTAGAATGGATGGCACCAAGCTCTAGAATTCCAATCCCCTTTTACCTAGCCCATCCTAAGGATGGAAAAAACTAGATGGGATGAAAATGATATACAGTCTTATTTCGCAGGAGGTGGGCACCCTCGCTTAGTGGTCAACAGCTAAGGTCCAGATATGTAGTGCTTTCCAGACACTCCTCACCCTCCAGCCCTCATTACCAAATGTGGAAGGTTGCATTAAAGACGTTGGTTTTCTTCAGCTTGTCCAGCTGCATCTGGGCATAACGCATCTGGTTTTCTACACTCTTCAGCTCATCATCCAGTTCCAGCTGTTGTCGTTTAAATTCACTGTATTCCCTCTGATACCTGTGAGCAGCCAAAGTGGCCATTGAAGACTGTTAGTTTGGGGGCTAAAATTTCTCTGTTATCACCCTCCTTAAGGACTTCTTCTTAGTGATTATGGTTACATCTAGTTACAGCATCACTGAGATTTGTCACAGATCACACTCAAAGAACATACTTGCCCCGGTTGTTTTGCCTAGGAGGGACAGGAATGTCTCAAATTCCAGCTGCCCATTTGCAAAAAGGGGAGGAAGAAAGGACTCTTCCAAACCAGGCCAAACACCTCTCGATGTCTGACCTTTTCCAGAATCAAGGTGAAATGTGTCAAGAGTGGCTTCTTCATGGCTTGGCCATAACTGAACTCCTATAACTTCACCTCTACATTCTTATTGTCCTTTATATAGTAAACACCAGAGTCCTCAGGCTGATGCTCTATCCAGTGAGCCAAACCGGTTTCGGCTCTTATTGTCCTTTAAATAGTAAACACCATTTCCAATGAAACTTGTTACACTGCTCTGTGAAAAATTAACTTTTTGTTCTGTCCTTCACTTCCCCTATTTCAGTTAATGTGGACACTATGTCTCCTCCAATAGACAGAGGGTTCTCTCAGGTCGAGAGCACCAAGGAAATTTTTGAGCTGAGAAGGAATGAATGTGGGCCAATATGCTCATCTCTCCAGAGCAGGATGCTGGGTGCAGAGGCTGACTTACCCAATGAGCCCCGTTCCCTACAGCACATAGCTGTGACTACAGCCCTGGCTCTCCATTCTCTATTTAATCAACATGCTTTTTTTACTTAGTCATGCTGACCCTTCATACATAACTCTTCAAACAAATCTCTAGAAACAGGGCCTGGAAACAATATGCAGGATCCAGAGCAGACATGCTGCAGAGTGACAGCTGAATGCAGCTTACAAACTAATCAGACACATTCAGCTGGAAGCCATTTCCCCTCCTGGAGCTTTCAGGGCAGGAAATTAGAAGAACAGGGTGATCACTTACTGAGCCTCCTCCTGATCCAGTCGCTCAGCTTCAGCCTGGACCTTTTCGAGATTTTCTGCTACTAATTTACGGTTCTTTTCCACATCTTCCAGCTCCTGAATCAGCCTCTCCTCCTCTAATGTCAGCTCCTTTAGCTCCATCTGTAGCTGTTCACTGTCATCCTCATTCATTTGCTCTAAGATCTCCAAACAGCGCCTGCCAAGGACAGAGAGTATGCTTGCAGAAGGAACCTGTTATTCTGTTTACCTGAGTTGAGCATAGCTCTTGGGTAAGAACCAGGCAGTCTCAGAGCAGTGATGGCTCTAAGACCCAGATGTCAGCGTCCAGGCCCTGGCTCTGGAGGCACTCACTTGTAGTTCTGACACTCATTTTCAGTGACGTTGAGCTGAGTGTCCAGCTGGTCTAACAGAGTATCTGTGCATTCCTCACACAGTGGGTGATCCACATCTGTCTGGCCTGACATGATGTCAAAAAGGTCCCCAGTAACCTGGAAGTATGGGAGAGTCAGGGTAGGACCTGCCCTGCTACCTGCCCAGACAATCCCCTCTACCAGCCATGCCCCCTGCTTGATGCTGGAATGAGGCCGACTTGCCTTCAGTCTTCGGCTGAGGTTCTCCATGGTTCCGCCATCAGATGCCTCCCCAATCAGAGTGAAGCTGTTGGCACTTTCCGTAGACATCATCCTGCAGACAGCCCCCCGCCCATGGGCCACATGAGGGAGCAGAGAGGCCTCCTCCACCTACTGCAGTGCCAGTGGCAGAGACTCTCAAGCACCAGCTGAGGGGCCTCAAAGTGCATACCCACTCCTAGCCCGACTGACCTCCCAAGGGTACCTCTCTCCCAAGGGAAGGCCATGCTAGTCTTCCACAGGGGCACTCAGCACGAAGGTTGGCCTGGACAGACTAAGGAGGGAGAGGGGGCATCAAAAACTGATGTGTGTGTCTATAATAGAAAAGGAAGGAGAATCCGGAAAGACCATTTTTTAATATTACACCCCTCGACAGCCACCTTCACATGCATCCATAACTAAGAACCTGAACATATAACATTAGCTGTTCTTAAACTTTTCAAGAGCCCATCTCTTTTATTAGTCAATCAGCCCCTGGACTTTTCTCACTTCTTTATCATGAGAGTTATTGTCTCTTTCCACGTGTAAATGGCTACAGGAAAAACTCAATTAGTATTGGAAGGTGATGGGCCAGTATAAGGGAATGCATCTTTTTTGGAGGAGCCAAAAGGCTGGGTGATGATACATTTCTATCACCTGGCTCCAGATCTCAATTGTGGGTTCTATTAAAATTCTACTAGTCTTTGGCAAGGAGCAGGGGGCTGAAGAGTAGTAGGCACCTGGCTGGGGGGATGAATCTGCGAGAGACACCATCCTGACGAGAGTCAATAAATGGCTCCTGGGAACGAAATAAGAGGGCATTAGAATTTGGCAGCTTAGAACTATTTGGCTTTACTCTTGATTGACAACCACAAGACGATAAACCAGAGACTTAACTGGGTATTACCTAGACTTTCCTTAAATAGTAAGAAAGGACGCCGGGTGCAGACACACCCCAAGTCCCATTTGATTTTTTTATGGGGAACAGCATTCCCTATGTTATATTCAATTGTAATTAAATATGCATTTTCTCAACACTTACTAGTCAGGGGTAAGGGTGAGATGCCCTAAATATCATGGCACAAGGAAAAAGCCAGATCAGACTATAATGAAGTTTGGCATGGCAAAGAAAAAAGTAGGTAATTTATATGTTTTAAATACATTAATATAATTTATATGTGATCAAAAACTTATATCTGTCTTTGGCAATGAAAATGATCACTGAAGTTATCACAGTTTAAAAATGACATGTTCTCAAAAAACAAAAAAAAAGACATGTTCTTTAACAATGACAATCCCCCCTGGCTAGGGTAATCATATAATTTGTTGCCAAAACCAAGATACTTTTGAGAATAGAGAGGAGTGGATATTAATAATTAGTTAGGACAACAGATGTAAGCCAGGAATGCCCTGAGATGACCTAGATATATAGGTCATCCCATCTCTCACCTATAATGGCTTATAATTCTGCATCAAATAAAGAAGAACCTCTCTCCATGTTTTTAAACGGATGACTCTTTCAGTAACCCTGTAACCTCAGGTACCTCCAATGATCCACAGTGGCTTGATCATGTAGAATGCCTCGTTAACCAGAGATCCCAAAAGTTTGTGGGCTCTAGAAACACCAAGTACCCTGCAGAAACCCGGTTTGCATTCCAGTGTTTCCTACCTCTCCTGAGTTACCCTCTTCCTCCTGGGTCTCTCCTGATTTCACCTGGGCTGTGGCAAGTAATGGAGCTAAGGGCAAGGAAAATATTGAGTCAGAAAGAATCTTATCAAAGGAGTGGGTATAAAAGTATAGAAAAAGGCCCTGGCTGGCACCTCAGTGGTTAGAGCATCAGCACCCACATCAAGGGCACAAACCTGGATTGCGGGTTCGATCCCTCGTCCCAGGAGGCAACCAATCGATGTGTCTCTCTCACATCAATGTTTCTCTCTCTCCCTTCCTGCCTTCCATTCTCTCTGGAAATAAATGGGAAAAAAATATCCTTGGTGAGGATTAACAGCAATAACAAAAAAGTATAGAAAAAGAATTGGAATCATACTCATAACCACCCCCACCTATACCTTTTTCTTAAAGTACCATTTACACAAAGAAGAATCTTTTCTTTACCCCCATTAAATGAGATTAAAGAGTTGTTAAATTTTTTCCAAAATAACCTAACTATACAAAAGGCTAATATGCTAAGTGTCCTTCCCTCCATCCAGGACACTCCCTAGCTTCCTCTCCCTAGTGACGACTAGCCTCCTTGCAGTTTCTTCATAGCCAGGTGCAAACATTTCACACTTTAACCAAATGTCTGTGAAGCGTTTTCCCCATGCCTCATCTCATTTGATCATCACAGAAGTCCTGGAGTAGGTAGGTAGGAGACTCGGTGGAATCCTATTTTCTTTTCATTAGCCGGAAAACAGAGATTTAGAAAGCTTAGAAACTTGACCCGACTGAAAAGAAGTAAGAAATGGTGGACCTTGAAAATGACTTCAGGTTTTCTCACTGCACAGAATATAGTCAAACACTGCTGCAGTTAAATATTTTAACCTTTGTTCTCCCTGCGTGATCTACAATAATAATCTGCTTCGGTTGATATTTACTGCTGTGTTGCTGACAATTACCTGAAAGAGAAGTTGGGGTGCTCCACTGGCCTGGTAGTTGGGGTGCTTCACTGGCCTGGTAAAAGTTTAGCTACATCAGAAAGCAGGTCTAATTAAGCTAGTTTATTCTATATCTATAAAAGGCTAAGTTGACTTGTGATACATATAAAGCTCTCGCTGGCGCCAATCACATGCATGTGTTTCGATCTGTCATTGTTGATGACAGAATTTGGTTGACACTTCTATTATAGAGAAAGGGCGAATAGCGATATTAAAATATTTCTTCTAATTAATTTCCTTCCAATGTGCATGAATCCGTGCACCAGGCCACTAGTGATATTATGGTTATGTTTTTAAAGATGCCTTATCTTTCAAAAATAGTTACAAAATATTAACTGTATTTATGTTTGGGATTTACTTCAAAATAATTTGGGCCCTAGCCGGTGCTCAGTGGTTAGAGCATCGGCCCACAAACTGAAGGGTTAGTCAAGGGCATGCACTTTGGTTGCAGGCTCGATCCCCTGCCTCAGTGTGCAGGAGGCAACCAATTGATGTGTCTCTCTCACATTGATGTTTCTCTCTCTGTCCCCTCTTCTTCCTTCCCTTCCACTCTCTGAAAATCAATGGGAAAATATCCTCCCCTAAAAAAAAAATCCTATATAATAAAACTCTAATATGCAAATCAACTGAACATAATAACCAGACATTATAATACGCACCGACGACCAGGGGGCAGACACTCAACGTGGGAGCTGCCCCCTGATGGTCAGTGAGCTCCCACAGGGGGAGCACTGCTCAGCCAGAAGTCGGGTTCACAACTGGTGAGCACAGCGGCAGCGCTAAGGACCGAGCCTAAGCTGGCAGTAGGACATCCCCTGAGGGGTCCCGGACTGGGAGAGGGCCCAGGTTGGGCTGAGAGACCCCCCACCCCAGTGCATGAATGTTGTGCACCGGGCCTCTAGTATGTATCTATGACAATAATAATAATAATAATAATAAAAGTGTAATATGCCAATTAGACCGGACATCCTCCTTCCGGACGACTTTCCGGATGAAGCTGGGGCTGGGGCTGCGAGGGAAACCCGGGTCCTGAGTGCCAGGGAAGCCGGTGCTGGCAGCCGGGGGAAGGAAAGCCTACTCTTGCACAAATTTCGTGCATCGGGTGTCTAATATATACATATATATGTGTATATATATACACACACGCATACATATCCTCCAGTGAGGATTAAAAAAAAAAGAATGTTAAAAATAATTTGGGCCCTTGCTGATTTGGCTCAGTGGATAGAGCGTCAGCCTGTAGACTGAAGGGTCCCGGGTTTGACTCCGGTCAGGGGTACATGCTCGGGTTTCAGGCTCAGTCCCCAGTAGGGGGCGTGCAGGAGGCAGCCAGTCAATGATTCTCTCTCATCATTGATGTTTCTATCTCTCTCTCCCTCTCCGTTCCTCTCTGGAATCAATAAACATATATTTAAAAAAATAAAATAAAATTTAAAAAACAAAAATAATTTGGGGTGGGAGAATAGATGGGGCTAAATGAAACATTATTAAATATGCATTAATAATTGTTGAAGGTAGGTGTTTTTAACAAAGTGAAAAAACAAATTAAGTGAGTGGGGATGGGAGGTGAGTGAAGATACAGAGAACACAAGAATGAGAGAATGTAGCTAGTTGTTGAAACTAAGTGATGGATACAAGGGAGTTCATTATGCTATTCTCTTGGCTATATATTTAAAATTTTCCCATAATAAAAAGTTTAAAATATATTAAAGAGTTAATTCTCTTCAGAGAGAGAAATCAGGTAGTAACATTAGCTAACATTTACTGAGTATTATTTGCCCAGAATATTCCTAAGTATTTATGTTCTTTGTCATATTTGATTCTTAAAACTACCTTGAGATTGTTTTATGTTTTACTGATAAAGAAACCAGACCTAGAGAGGTGATGTAACTTGCAAAAAGTCACTCAGCTAGTAAATGACAGCCAGGGTTTAAATCCAAGCAGGCTGTCTCCAGATCCTTGAGCTTATTCTTTTAATGTTTGGTTTTTTTTAACTGAATTTTAGAGAGACAGTAAGGGAGACAGAACCCCAAGACCTCTTGACGCTCAACCGCTGAGCAACACGGGCCAGGCTCCTTGAGCTTATTTTAACTGCTTATTCAGTTTTCTCTTTTAAAAACTACATCTCACTTCCTGGGTCTATGAGAATTGTCTCTCCATTTACTAGCTGTTGACCACTGGGTAAGTCACTTAAGTTTTCTGAGCCTCAACTCATTTGTAAAATGATCCCTACGGGTTGCTGCACGGACTAAACTAAGTAAAGCATGCAATGCACTTGGTACATGGTAAATCCTTAAAATGTGCCCTTTATTATTACATATACGTACATATTCCTTTACTCTGAAAGAGCAGGAGTAAGAAAACTAAGGACCTTTCCTTGCTATACAAAGCTCTCTGAGGCGCACTGAGTCAGAAGTCCTTTATGTTCCTGATAAGAAAACAGGGAGCTAGAGAGATTAAGTGACTTTCCTATGGTTTACACGGGAGTCTGTGGCGGACTGCACGGACAGACACCTTAAGATCTACATCTCCAAAGCTGCCCACTTTCAACGATTTTGACCACCCTCTTTGCAAGGGTCTCGCTGACCTGTGAGCTCCTGGATGGTGACACGGTCCAGGATCTTGAAGCTCGTGTCCAGCTTTAGGGGCTGGCTGCAGCGCTGGCACACGAAGCTCACCTGCATGGTGCTGCTGGACGTCTTAGATCCCTCCATCCCTGCGGCGATGGAGAGGAGGCGATATTAGGGAGAATCGGCGCTCTAGAATCCCGGGTCTGGGGCTACTGAAGGGGGAAAATCCCGCCCGCGCCGTTCTCTCTAGGGACGGTACGATAACAAGTGGACCTGCTTCCGGGGCAGCCCCGGCAAAAACAGTTTACAGCCGAGTCAGGGACAGGCGGCAATAGGCGCCGTCAGGGCTCCCAGGCTCCCTTCTCCGGTTGCGGTTCAGCCCTCGACGTTCTTCATCTCGGAGCCCGGAGCCCGCCACCCTGGTCCGGTCTACCGCTGGGGCACTACGGCCTCCGGGCTGCCCTGGAGGGAGGCCTCCAGAACTGCCATCGTCCTGTCTTCAGCTACTTCCCGGTGGGCCGGAGGACTTCCGCCTAGACCGGATGTGACGCCACGACGGCGGCAGCTGCAGGAGGAGCCAGTAGGTCGGTCCAGATCCACCCGCTTTCGGGCCGGGCTGCGGCCCCTAGAGGCTGAGCTGGGAAACGCGGCCGGCGGCGGGTGAGCGTAGGTTGCCTGGGGAAGTGGAAGGACCGAGTAGGGAGAGATGGAGGAGTCTCTGCCATTCTCTAATTCAGTGACTTTTCTTTAGATTTGTCACTTCTGAGCGGAGCCACTTTAGTTCTTTCTGCAGTATCAGTTTTAAAAGTTTCTCCTTGGGAGAGCTGGGCTTTCTTTCAAACGCCCCCGAGAGAGTGGTAGACACACTTGGAGGGGAGGTAAACTTTGTGTTTTATATTATAATGTAATGGGGTGACCCGCGGAGACGACCACCAGGGACTCAGATAAAAATTTAGGAGCCTTTATTAAGCTGGCCAGCGACTACAGTTACAGCACCCTGCCGAAGCAGAGGCTGAACTGCAGCCCCGACCAGATGCAGAAGCAAGCTTTTATTCACAAAAACCACAAAACAGTTGGCTAAACACACACAAAGTTCGTCGCTCTATTTCTCAACACAAGATACAGACTCAGTCGAATCGGTTTGGCTCAGTGGATAGAGCGTCGGCCTGCGGACTCAAGGGTCCCAGGTTCGATTCTGGTCAAGGGCATGTACCTTGGTTGCAGGCACATCCCCAGTAGGGGGTGTGTAGGAGGCAGCTGATTGATGTTTCTCTCTCATCGATGTTTCTAACTCTATCTCTCTCCCTTCCTCTCTGTAAAAAATCAATAAAATATATATTTAAAAAAAAAGAAAGGGCACAGGCTCATACCTTTGAAAGGTTAGGTTCCTGGAGCCTGTCACCCCTGGCTAAACCATGACCTGCTTGTAAAAAATGTTAAGAGGGAGCTGTGATCTTTGCAACAGAGCCAGAGACTGCGATGACCTAATTTAACTGTAACCTTCTATTGTTCCTAAGCCCTGGGGCGTTTATTACATTCTCTACTGGTTTTTAACAGAAATCAAATCATTGATTCTGCTTCCTGCCAGCCTTCTTTAGGGATTTGTTGGTAGTGGGTGCCCCAGGCCTCACTGTCCTGGTAAACCAGAGTAGTGAGTCAAGATAAAAATGTTTTAGTTTTATATTTTATAACATCTTTATATGTTTCAATATCTTAAGTGCTCAACTTTCTCTAATTAATAATTTTATTGTATTGACAATACAGGAAGTTAGGGGAATAATGTCATGAAATTACCCATAATCTCACCACACTATAACTTTTGTTTTCCATTAAAATGTTTTTCCTATGTATTTTAACACGATTGTATTTGTATTTATAATTTATATGCAATTTTTGTATCCTTCTTTTAAAATTTAACAGTACTTACTGAATAATTTTCCATGTTGCTTACAGTTTAGGTAATTGTCATCGCTGCATCACAGCACATCAAGTGCACTAACAATGTATTTCTTTGTTGCTGGAAACTCCCATTGCTTCCAGTTTTGGTAATTACAGTAATGTTGCAATGAAGAGCTGACTGCTTTCTTATGATAAAGCCTCACTATTGGAATTAATGATGAAAAGAGTATGGCTTTCTCATGTCTCTTGATTAACATTAGCAATTGTTTTCCAGAGCAGTTGCACATAATCATATTCTGCCTCTAGTAATGTATGAGAGAGCCCCTTTCATGATGCCTTGGCCAGTATTAGGTATCATATATTTGAGGAATGAGGGGGCGAGGGGAAGACATGTCCCTGTTATTTTCATTGGCATATTTGGTATAGATTGGGTTGGTGTTCTCCTTTTGTGAATTTTGTTTGCATCCTTTGCCCATTTATCTATTAGGTAATATTTTGCTTAATAATTTTCATTGATTTGCATAACTGGTCTATTAAGGTATTTCCCAGATGTGCGAGTTTTAAATTCTTATGAGGTCAAATCTGCCTTTTCGTTTTCTTGGTGACTTATATTTCTTTTCTTAAAATATATTTTTATTGATTTCAGAGAGGAAGGGAGAGGGAGAGAGAGAGAGAAACATCCATGATGATAGAGAATCATTGATCAGCTGCCTCCTGCACGCCCTTAACTGGGGATTGAGCCCGCAACCCAGGCATGTGAATCTTGACCGGAATCAAACCTAGGACCCTTCAGTCCACAGGCCAAGGCTCTATCTACTGAGCCAAACCGGCCAGGGCATTGGTGACTTCTATTTCTTAGAAAGTCGTTCTCACTTCTAGAAATGACTTTCTTATTATTTTGAATGTAGGTGACCCTCCTATAATTAGACGTAATATAGGAACTAGATTTATTTCCTCCTGGTATTGCTAATTAGATCATCTTTACAACCCTTCTTCCTCTTGGATCTTTCAGCTTGAGACTCCCTCCAGGGGAGGCCTGCCGTGGTGGGTTCACAGCCTACATTTCTTCCTGCTTGGCTGCACTAATGCCGTCTCAGAAAGGCAGAGAGATGTCACGGGCTTCGAGGGGAAGAGTGCATAGAGATTACAGCTGAGGCTGAAAGTCTAGACTGAGTTCAAACCTATCTTCATCACTCACCAACACTGACCTTGAGCAAGTTATTCAACTACTCTGTGCCTTGTTTTCTTGTTTCTGAAGAGAGCATAATAGTGTATGTCACATAGGGTAGTGTGATGATTAAATGATCTAATATGAGGTACAAAGAGCAAGGCCTGGCACATAGTAAACTCTCTGTGTGCCCTGCTGCTTGGAGAATATATGACACGCAGTATTTATAGTGCTCAAGGGATTGTGAATACTCAACATACCCCAAGTCATCAATTCAACAAGTATTTATTGAGGACCTACTATGTACCAATCACTCTTCTAGGTCTGGGAGGATACATTGGTGAACTGTTCTCATAGCTTATATTCTAGAGGAGAGAATTTGAGAAATGTAAACAAATGAATGATTTCAGATAATGGTAGATGTTATAGGTTGAATTTTGTACCCCCAAAAGATGTTGAAGTCCTAATCCCAGCACCTGTGATGTGACCTTATTTGGAAATAGTGTCTTTGAAGATGATCAAGTTAATGAAGTCCTTAGGGTGGGCTCTAACCCAATATGACTGATGTTCTTATAAAAAGGGGTAATTTGGCCCTGGCCGGTATGGCTCAATTGGTTGAGTGATGTTCCATGCACCAAGAGGTCACTGGTTTGATTCTTGGTCAGGGCATAAACAAGAATCAACCAATGAATGCATTAATAAGTGGAACAAAAAATAGATATTCTCTCTCTCTCTAAAAATCAATTTTTAAAAAGGCAATTTAGACACAAAGATAGTCATAAACAGAGGGATGACAGTTGGTTGGGGTGTCGTCCAGTGAACAGAGAGGCTGCTGGTTTGATTCCCTGACAGGGCACATACCTAGGTTGTGGGTTCAATCCTAGGTGGGTGTGCATATAGGAGGCAACCGATCCATGTTTCTCTCACAAATGGATGTTCCCTCCCCCCCCCCTTCCCGTCTCTAGAAAACCAGTAAACAATAACTCGGGAGAGCATTAAAAAAAAAAACAGAAGAAAAAGGGGGAAACAGATGTTAATGAGCAAGAAGGGTAGTACGGGCTATGTTATATGTAGTCTTGAATAATGGAAAAGGACTTTTTTTGAGTCTGAAAGTAGGGATGATAATTATATAGTTTAAAGAATAACCCTTTCATGCTAAGCATTAACAGGTAGCTTATTTGACAATAGCTACTATGTATGTAGTGTCTGCCTTGTGTCCAGGTACTGTGCTAGTTCTTTGAAATATATATGACTTTCAATACTCAGAACCCTACAAAATTATATATATATTTGTTAATAGTGATTAAAATAAAACTTGACAGATGAGGGAATTGAGACTCAGCATTTCAGTAATTTTATCAAGACAGCACAGTTAGTGAAGAGCTGAGGTGGGATTTAAAACCAGGTCTCTCCCTGATTCCAAAGGCCATAGTCAGTTGTACTTCATTTAACTGCATATTCCCATTTCCCTTGCACTTAGCATAGAGGCCTGACCAGGATAAATGTTTAGCAGTAGCAGTGACCCCAAAATATAAATCAGATGACCTGCCCTTGCACTTAATCCAACTTGTTTCCTAACAATCCTCCCCACCCCACTCCCAGCTCGCTAGTCTTTCAATGTCTTCAATAAAACCCATACTATTCTCTTTATCAGTCATTTGTTTCCTAACATTTATTAAATTTTGTCATTAAAAAAAAATATTTTATTGATTTTTCACAGAGAGGAAGAGAGAGGGATAGAGCGTTAGAAACATCGAGAGAGAAAAAACATCGATCAGCTGCCTCCTGCACACACCTCACTGGGGATGTGCCCGCAACCAAGGTACATGCCCTTGGCCGGAATCGAACCTGGGACCTTTCAGTCCGCAGGCTGACGCTCTATCCACTGAGCCAAACCGGTTAGGGCTAAATTTTGTCATATTTTCAGTTTACTTTCTGGTATCTTTCCCCAGTATTAATCCCCATGAGACCAGAGAATTTGAGTTTTGTTTACCTCTGATATCCCAGAGCTGTGCTGTTCAATACAGGAGCCACTAGTCACAAGTGGCTATTCAGTACTGCAAATGTGGCTCCTCTGAATTGAGATGTGCAGTGAGTGTAAAACTCATACTGGATTTTGAAGACTTGGTATGAGAAAAGAACGTATATGATCTCATAAATATTTTTTAAGATTGATTACGTGTTTAAATACTTGGCGAAACTAGGTTAAATATATAATTAAAATTAACTTCACCCGTTTTACTTTTTAATGTGGCTACTAGAAGATTTTAACTTACATTAAGTGACTCATATTATATTTCCAGGCTCTGAGGCAGTGTTGTCCCAGAGCCTAGCCCAGTGTCCTGACTCATTTTATTTAGCGAAATAACCAGTGTTAACAGACAAACTGAAAAAATAAAAAGAAGAGGGTGAGAGGAGGCATGATATTTGCCTCCCATTAGCAAAATGGATACAGCATTGTCCTAGAAGTCAGGAGACCTGGGTTCTGTTCCAGGATTTACTGTGTAGCCGACCCCACTCTGGGGGTCACTCTGCCCATCAGGCAGCGGATCTCCAATGTCTGAAAGTGTATGAGTAAGTGATGGAGAACGGTGGGGAACCTGGTACAACACACCTTGTCCTCTCTTTGGCTCGAGCACAGCACTAGAGCTTCCGCGGCCAACGGGAGGAGGCAGCAGGAATCGTAGACCAGATCCCTGAACTCACAGCCGGGACCGCCAGCTTCCTCGGTCTGACGTCACAGGGGCGCGACGCCGTCGTCGGTCCGGTCCTCCAAACTGCAGAGCTCGTTAGGTTCCTTCGGCGAAGGCTAGTGCCGAGCCAGCAGAGAGTCACACAGCTCCCGAGTCTCTCCGGGACTCAGTTCTCAGTAAACTAGCCTCCGCCACCCTCCCTCGAACTTTCCTCTTACCCGGCACTGGCACCCGGGAGCTACGAACCTGGAAGGAGCGTGCACAGCCAAACCTCAGTGCGGCTGCGCAAAGCACGTGCGCATCCACGCCGGAGTCCCGGCGCCTGGCTGTGACGCAACTTCCGGCGTGAGCGGCGAAAGCCGGGAGGGCAAGCGATAGTGCAAGCAGGCATCCAGCAGCAGGCAGCAGGCGGGCGGGCGGACAGGCGGCACAGAGGGAGGGAGCGAGCGAGCAAGTGAGCAGTCCGTGAGCCAGCGAGGGCAGCCGCGTCCCGAGAGCCGCCGAAATAACTCCCGTCCCTCTGACCCCCTCCCCGGAGCCCACAGCGCCTCCGGTCTCCAGCGGAGCGAACACGGCCCTGCCCGGCCATGGCCTCGTTGCTGAAGGTGGATCAGGAAGTGAAGCTCAAGGTAGCGACACCGGCCCGGGCTTCCTTACCCCTCGCTTCGATCTCGGAGCACTCCGACCGGCTCCCTACTCCCCATGGCGTCTTTGTCTCCCTGGGGACACCAGCTCTGAGCTTCCGCTCAGCTCAGCCCAGCCCCCCCTCCTCCCGGAGACCGCATCCGGGGAGAGGATCATATAGGATGGCTTTCTGCCCCTTGTCTGGTGATGGAGAGCCCCGCGGACACGTGGTGGATTCAGTGCTTGAGGCTAGTGACAGCTGGAAGTTCCCCAGCCCCGCCTCCGGACGCTGCCGCTGTCCTTGGAGTCAGGCCTGCCTCGCATCTTAGGTCGGGTCTGGAAGGGAGTCGGCGGGCACGTTTGTGAGCTCACACCTCCCCCATCTACCGGCCTTTCGTCTGCTCACACACTCAGACCGCCTCACACACAGGGAGGGAGAGAGGGAAGACAGGTGGGGGCCGCCCTCCAGCCCCGCTTCCCTCTCCTGAGATGGAGAAATGGGTCCTCAAAAAAAGAAAGTACTTGCAGTCCGGGGGCCTCTCCGCTTCTCACTACCATTACAAGGTGCGGGAGAGACAGCTAGCTTTGGGTTTCCCTGTCCTGCCCTTAACCTCTGTTGCCAGGTACTGACTTGCTCTTACTGAATTGCTCTTTGTTAATTTTAGGTTGATTCTTTCAGGGAGCGGATCACAAGTGAGGTGAGTGAAATAAATAGCAAAACGAGTGTTGGTTAATAATCGGGAGTTTCCCAAAGGGTAGATAACTGCTGAGAGAGACCGTCCCACAATTTTAATGCATTTCTTCTCATCTTTAGGCAGAAGACTTGGTGGCAAATTTTTTCCCAAAGAAGTTGTTAGAACTTGATAGTTTTTTGAAGGTGAGAGACCCTTTTCCTCAGCTTTCCCAATTTTTTTTTTTGGGGGGGGGGCTGATCTTTCTGTCAAATGGGACAAATCATGTGTTGGTTCCATTTTGTTCTGTACTGTAAAGCACTCTCATATCTTGCCCTTCACGTGAAATATTTACTTGTTCATCTTGAAAAGACTAATGTTTGGGGGGGGGGGGGGGGGCGTCTCTTTTTCAGGAACCAATCCTAAACATTCATGACCTAACTCAGATCCACTCAGACATGAATCTCCCTGTCCCTGACCCCATTCTTCTCACCAATAGCCACGACGGACTGGATGGTGTAAGTGTCCTATATTTATCTTTGTCTTCTGTAGCAATAGGTTCTCTGTCCTCTCTTCCCTGGTCAGTTTGAATATGTACAAAGGAGACAGTAGGATTTGGATCTGGGAATGAGGATTCTTACAGACATGATGACTCCAGTACACCACCCCCCTGTAGATCCTGATTTTCATTTATAGCATGAGGTGAATTTGCCAATGCTACTCTGTGTGAGAGTGAGTTTTTTGTTTTTTTTTAATATATTTTATATCTTGGTCTGTTTCCATGGCTCATTTATAGCATGAGGTGAATTTGCCAATGCTACTCTGTGTGAGAGTGAGTTTTAATAGCTACAAGCTCCCTTAGGTTATCTTGGTCTGTTTCCATGGCTCTCAGCAAGACTTTCTTATCTGTTCCATGTTTCAATGTCTTGAGTCTTGTTATTGAATGAGTAGTTCTTCTTGATATGTAACTGCAGCCCCTGTCTTTGCTGTGCATCTTCATTACCTAGTCCTTATCGATTAATGTTCACATTCTGAAGCACTGATGACGCTGCATTGTTCTTTGTCTACATTATTGTCTCCTTGTTAGAACTTGTTGGTTCTGGAAAGCAGAAACTGTCTTAATCATCTTTGTATTCCCAGCACCTAGCATTGTTTCTGGTACGTAACAGGTGCTAAATATGTGTTTGTTGATGGGATATTGTGTTTCTTTGTGGAACCAGCAGATTTATGTATATTCCCTAAATTACCCTACATTGAAAGGTTCTTTTTTTCCTATTGTTTATAGCAGCCAGTTTCAACTGATGTAAGAATTTTTGAAACATGCAATTCCTGACTATTTAGTCAGGGGCACTGGCCTCTTTCCCCTGAGATTGTCAAATAAAAAAAATGACACAGCTAACACAACAATGGCATCCAGTGTGAATGAATCAAAATTATGCCTTGTTTTGGTCAGATAGGCAAAAAATATATTTTTGGTGTGCCACAGACTTTTAGTAATTAATTTTTGTGTGCCATGAGATGGAAAGGATTAAAAATCGCTGGCTATCCCTCTCTAGTTGTATTTCTTGAAAAGTTGGTCTTACAACTAGAATGTAACTTGCTTTCTAGCATAAACCTTTTCTTAAAGCCTTGTATGTACTTAGTAACTTGCACAAAATAATAAGACTAGAGGCCCAGTGCTCCCTCTCGCAGTCTGGGAGCCCTCTGGGGATGTCCTTGCAGGGAGCGGGCCTAAGCCGTCAGTTGGGTATCTTTAGCGCTGCGCTCACCAGCCTTGAGCCCAGCTTTTGGCTGAGCGGCACTCCGCTTGTGGGAGCACACTGACCACCAGGGAGCAGCTCCTGTGTTGAGCCTTCGCTTGTGGGAGCACACTGACCACCAGGGAGCAGCTCCCGCGTTGAGCGTTTTCCCCCTGGTGGTCAGTGCGCGTCATAGTGACCGGTTTTTCTGCAGTTTGGTCGATTTGCATATTAGCCTTTTATTATATAGGATAACCTATGGTGTCAAAGAAGGGATTAAACTTGTTTAAAATATAACTTGTTATAGGGATGGGAATGTTGAGAGCAGGCTAATTTCTGTCTGTTTCCTTAGCCCACTTACAAAAAGCGAAGGTTGGATGAGTGTGAAGAGGCCTTTCAAGGTAAGAGCCACCCCACCCCATCTACCCTCCGGCTTACAGCCTTGAGAAGCAGATGGATCTAGTGTTCTGGCCTGGAAGCAGGATCTGATTTTATTTCCTAGAGTTAGCATTCTCAAATCTTCCAAATGTGGTCATTATTTAGCACCCTGAACCTAACTTTCCAGTAAGAAGGGAGGTTTAACTTAATGTAAACTGGCCAAAGGAAAGGACTTGGGGGTCACTGCCTATTGCAGATTTTTCACAGAAGTCCCAGTTCCATGTTATTTTTTCCTCTTTGATAATAGTTGGTACATTCAGGCTTTAGAGCATATTTTAATTTCCTTATTCTTTAGACTTTGGGCATATTTAGACACTCATTTGTTAATCCATATATTCTCTTCGGTTCTGTTGGTGGTGTCATTGTTTGTTGTGACAGATAAAAGGCAGAGATCATAGCATCTCATGAATCTGGGAAGAAGAGGGAAGGGTGGAGGATGTTTTGTCCTGGCCCCCACCCCAATCATTTGGCCTTCTTCATGTCCTTGCCAGGAACCAAGGTGTTTGTGATGCCCAATGGGATGCTAAAAAGCAACCAGCAGCTGGTGGACATTATTGAGAAAGTGAAACCTGAGATCCGGCTGCTGATTGAGAAATGCAACACGGTGAGGCAGGGGCTAGTGACCTATGGGCTGACTTCAAACAGCCCAGCTTGAACTATGAAAAATCATGGATGGTGGGGCTGGAGGCATGGAGGTGATATGGGTGTTGGCAGACTAAGTATCTTGGCTCCTGTGCTCCTGGCATCTGGCACCAGCAGCATGAATTGTATACTTCATGGCATCAATAGAAAAAGCCGTGTTCCTCAAGCCTTGGTCCTCATATATGTTTTGGTCTTTTTACCCTGCAGGTCAAAATGTGGGTACAGCTCCTGATTCCTAGGATAGAAGATGGGAACAACTTTGGGGTATCTATTCAGGTAATTACATACTGGAAGGGAAGGTTTGGGAGATACTCTTACCTCCCCTGCTTTGTTTGCTTTTCCTTTATCTTTGGTCTGCTGTGGAGGGATGTGGAAGTGATTTTGACTCACCGTGTTTTTTGTTTGTTTTCAGGAGGAGACAGTTGCAGAACTAAGGACTGTTGAGAGTGAAGCTGCATCTTATCTGGACCAGATTTCTAGGTAGGGCTGCTTGGGCTTGGCCCAGGAATTGGGGGCTGGTGAGGTGGTAAGCACTGTCCGGGGTCTCCTGCAGCTTCCTCTTCTTTTTTCTCCTTCCAGATATTATATTACGAGAGCCAAATTGGTTTCTAAAATAGCTAAATATCCCCATGTGGTAAGTAAGGGTTTGGTGGCCTGAGGGTGGAAGTGGTAGGGTAGGGAGGAGTGACTGTTGCTGGGGAAGAGCTGACTGTGGATAGTCCAGCCTTGGGAACGAGCCTTTCCTCTGGCCCTTCTTTCAGGAGGACTATCGCCGAACCGTGACAGAGATTGATGAGAAAGAATATATCAGCCTCCGTCTCATCATATCAGAACTAAGGAATCAATATGTAAGTAACCTCGATCCCTGCCAACAGTTGCTCTGGCTTTTCTTAGTTCTGGTGATAAATTTCTTGCCACTCTCTGTGAGTCGAGATCGGGGACGGAGGTAAAGTTAATAAAAAGAGTTCTGCTTATCAACCAAGTGTCGAGAACTATGGAGTTGAGGGTATATAGCTGGGCATCTTCCTTCTTTCCACCTGGATGAGAGGGAGTGCGATATAGTATAGAGGTGAAGATGAAGTTGTTAGAGTCAGGCAGACTTAGGTTTGGAATCAACTCTACTGGTAATGTGTGGCCTTGGGCGAGTTGTTTAACCTCAGACTTCAAGGTTTCTTCATCTCTAAAATGAAACTTAGAGTATCTACTGCACAAAGATGGTTTTAAAAAATTAGCGAGATAATACATTAAAGGAACCAGTGCACTTCTTAAGTGTTCAACAAATGTTAGTTATTATTAGACACTCAGGAACTTGGAAATACCCAGTATACCTAGTTTGGGGGCATAAGAGAGGGAGAGCAACCACCTTGATTTCAGGTTCAAATGAGTGAGAATGGGATTATGTAAACGATTACTTGGGTAATTGGTTGGGAGGGATCTTTTCTTTTTGAGGTAGGAGTTGAACAGATGTGTGATTCTCTGATCTCTCTTCTCCCAGGTCACCCTACATGACATGATCCTGAAAAATATTGAGAAGATCAAACGGCCCCGGAGCAGCAATGCAGAGACACTGTACTGAGGCCAGGGCCAGGGCCAGGGGACTCTGTGAGTCTGGCTCAAGACCGACATTGCCTTGGTTTGTTACATGACTATCGTGATGGGGAAACTGGCTGGAAATAGTAATCACACCTCTCTCTGTTTTTAGTTAGAGTCTAATGAAACTCTCATGTAGTTCTGTGACGTGTTTACCTCTTTTTTCAGGCCTCAGGAACTCTTCTATTTCCTTCCCTAATATCCCACACCTGAGCTGTTCTAATTTCTGGAGAACTCCAGGTTTGTGTGCACAAGATATTGGCACCAGAATACTTGTGTTTTCTTTCCCCACCCCCTTCTTTGTCTTCGGCTTTGTGTTGTTTTTTTCCTTTTGATGATTAGTTCATTAGGAGCTGAGGGAACTAAAAGGCAAGTGCTAGGTTTTTGTTTTTTTCTAAGATCTGGGGTCAGGGAGACTAGCTCCTCTCTTCTGATATAAGGGTAATGTCTCTTGCCAATGTGGGATATTGGATCCTCCCTGTCCCAGTTGTCCTGGTGATGACTTCAGGTTTTCTTGCCATCTACATACATGGCAAGAAACACCACAGACTTTGGCTAAGTCCCTAAGTCCTTCAGATGTTTTTATAAGTAGAATTTTCACATACACATATGTGCATGATAGACACACACATACAGACATGCACACGTCTGCCTTCCTACTCTGTTACCTGACACTCCCCCTCGGCCCCCCCAAAAAACCCTGTTACACACACACACACACACACACACACACACACACACACAAGTCAGGAGGTGATAGTTGTCTCAGTCATCATCCACCGGGGCCCATCGTCTCCTGATATTGTAGCCTCTTGGTACCCAGAGGCTATTGAGTTGGAGGAGAACCAAGAGGCGAGAAGCAGAGGGATTGGGGAAGGCTCCTTTCTCTGTGACTCAGGTCCTTTTGGGCATTATTGCAAAGGCCAGTCCTCTGACTCCTGACTGCCTCTTTCCAGACCAGTTGTCATTTGGGGTGGGGGTGTCTTCAGCTGTGAGGACCAGCTGCTGCTGCTCCTCCTGGGCTTTTCCTTTGGGAAAAATATTTCTCTTATTTATAGTATTGTGCTTCCAGGGAAAGCAGTCACTTATGTGTCTACGTGTGTGCATGCAAACACAGGCGTGTACACGTGTGTATGTGGAAATCTGCTGGGCAAGTCAAAACCATAGAAGAGTTGCCCCCTATCTCTCGAATCTTCCAGAGATATCCCCCACTTTTTTATTCTATCACTATTGGAGAGTCAGTATTTGCAGCCAGCCAGCCAGTGACTCTCTCAGTGTCTATTTCTGACTTATTCTTCCCCTGTCTGTCTTCCAACCCCTAATTATATTTCCACCTGGATGCATCATTTTTACTCCCAATATGCTGTATAGAGAAGGAGTCAGGATGCTGTCTTCCCATGAATAGTACTCAGTAACAAACCAATTGCATTTTAGTTGGGCAATGCCCCTACCCACCCTTCAAATCCCTTCCACCATGCATTTTTGTTTCCCTTTTTGTTTGTTGGATTGTTCTGCTGCCCCTTCTCCTCACCCCACCACCCTTGGATCGTATGTAAAATTCTTTTACCATGTCAAGAAATTATTAAAAATACAGGTACTTTGACCTCTTTCTAAAGCCGCAGACCTTGGTGAGATGCTCTGGTGGCTAGGGACGTACCCATACTCATATGCGTGCGCATCAGGATACCCACCCCCACATACACCACCAACCATCCTATTGGGTGTTTTTATACCAGTTATGCTTCCTCTTTTTTTCTGGAATAATGGAAAGATTGAGGTTTCTGCCTACAAGAGGCAAAGGTGGGTCCTTCATTTGTATTAAGCCTGAATTATGTGAAAGAGAGCTCTTCCCAAATCTCAGCTGCCTTCTGTCCCAGCCCTCAACAAGATCCCAGATCCTTCCTTCCCCAGTGATACCCATGAACTGCCAGTAGAGGCTGCTCTAGTTCCACGTGGGAATCACCTGGTTCAAGGCGCACCCTACCGTGTCATTCTCGTTACCTTATACTAATTCTCCCCTCAGAATAATGTCTTAAATTTCTTAAGGAGATGCCAGGGGCTCTTGGTTTTGGTTTTCAAATGACTTGGAGGGCTGTCTAGGACTCTACCTCCCTCTGAAATAAAGTTTCCTCAACTTCCACCTTGTAAAGTAGCCTTCTGGTATCCAACGATTCCCTCATTGTCTCTGCAAAAAGAGATTTAAGGTCTTAAACAATGGAGGAACATCTGCTCTCTTCTGTTTCAGAAATAATCAGTAGGTAACAGTTTTTGAATGCCTATCCTGTGTTGAGCTCTGCTAAGCACTTTATATGCATGATCACATTTAATCTTCATGAATCTATAAGGTAGTTTTATCCATTTATAAGTGAGGACATAGACTCATGATATGTACCTCCCCTGAGGTCATAGCTTAGGGACCTGGGAATCTGACTGCTAAGCTCAGGCCTTCACTCTTCCTTTCTCACTAACTAGGTAGAAGAGGCCTGAGACTACAGATCAGGGGCTTGACCTTAGGCAACTGGCTGAGCACAGTGCTTACTGCTGAACTAGGTAGTAGGTCCTGGAAATATTGGGGTTTACTGCCTGCCAGGAGGGTGGGAAACGGACAGTTTTGGTGCCTGCATTCAGCACACAGGACTTGATTGGGCATCCGAGATTTGCATTCTTCCTCAGACCCATTTTGAGTGGAAGGTGCAGTTCAGCGGTACTTCAAATGCCCTCTAATCTGGTCTAAATGATGGAAATCATGCTGCCAGTAGTTCAGGGGCAGGGGAGATGCCATGCACATGAAAGTAGTGCTTTGGGCCAAACCACAGAACAGAAAATTGGAACAGAATTATATAAATCAAGGTCAGAAATTTCCTGTTCAACCCACAGGGTGGAGTTTTCTCCATTCCTATCCATCCTACTGAATATAAACCCTGATTTGATGTCAGTAACTGGAAGAAGCAGCTGGTAGGACTCTCATTTCAACTCGCAGCATTCACCATGAATGTCAAGGTAGTCCTCGTGTTCCTGGCACTGTCCCTTATTACCATCTTTGCCCTGGCCTATGTCTTGCTGTCCAGCCAGGGGGGTTCCAGCCAGCCTTCCCGCTGCCCCTCCATATCTCCCAGTGCCCAGCACTGGACACAGCCTGGCCAGAGCCAGCTGTTTGCAGACCTGAGTCAAGAGGAGCTGACGGCTGTGATGAGCTTTCTGACCCAGCAGCTGGGGCCAGGCCTGGTGGATGCAGCCCAGGCCCTCCCATCAGACAACTGCATCTTCTCCGTGGAGCTGCAGCTGCCCCCCAAGGCTGCAGCCCTGGCACACCTGGACAGGGGGAGCCCCCCGCCTGCTCGTGAGGCACTGGCCATCGTCTTCTTTGGCGGACAACCCCAGCCCAACGTGAGTGAGCTGGTGGTGGGACCACTGCCACACCCCTCCTACATGCGGGATGTGACTGTGGAGCGTCATGGGGGCCCTCTGCCCTATCACCGACGTCCCATGCTGGGAACTGAGTTTGCCCAGATATGGAAGCATTTGAAAGAGGTGGAGCTACCCAAGGCACCAGTCTTCCTTGCTTCGGTCTTCAACTACAATGGCTCCACCTTGGCACCTCTGCAGGCCACTCCTAATAGCTTGCGCTCAGGAGACCGTACTACCTGGATAGCCCTCCACCATAACATCTCAGGTGTTGGGTTTTTCCTACATCCAGTGGGGCTGGAGCTACTGCTGGACCACAGGGCCCTGGACCCTACCCGCTGGGCTGTCCAGAAGGTCTTCTACCTTGGGCGCTACTATGCAGACTTGAGCCAGTTGGAATGGGAGTTTAAGGCTGGCCGGCTGGAAGTGGTTAGAGTTCCTCTGCCCCTGCCAAATGGGGCTTCATCCCTGAGGTCTCGGGTCCCCCCAGGTCCTCTTCCACCTCTTCAGTTCTCACCCCAGGGCTCCCAGTTCAGTGTACAAGGGAACCTGGTGATGTCCTCCCTCTGGACATTTACTTTTGGTCATGGGGTGTTTAGTGGCATGAGGATTTTTGACGTTCGATTCCAGGGTGAGCGAGTGGCCTATGAAGTCAGTGTCCAGGAGTGTGTGTCTATCTATGGTGCTGATTCACCCAAGACAATGATGACCCGATACTTGGATAGCAGCTATGGACTTGGCCGAAACAGCCGGGGCTTGGTGCGGGGTGTGGACTGCCCCTATCAATCTACAATGGTGGACATCCATGTATTAGTGAACAAAGGGACCGTCCAGCTGCTCCCAGGGGCTGTGTGTATATTTGAGGAGGCCCAAGGACTACCCCTTCGAAGGCACTATAATCACCTTCAGAGTCATTTCTACGGTGGTTTGGCCAGCTCAGCTCTTGTAGTCAGGTCTGTGTCAACTGTAGGCAACTATGACTACATTTGGGACTTTGTATTTTACCCAAATGGGGCGCTTGAAGGGCGGGTCCATGCCACAGGCTTTGTCAACACAGCTTTCCTGAGTGGGGGAGAGGAAAGCCTCTTCTTTGGGAACCGTGTGGGGGAACGAGTGCTGGGGACGGTGCACACGCATGCCTTCCACTTCAAGCTGGACCTGGATGTAGCAGGTGAGTGCTCGGGGAATTAAGATTGAGAGTTGGGGTGGGGCAGAGGGAACAGACTCCCCACCCCCAGATCAAGCCTGAGGAGTAGAGTATCATTCCAGCTCCACATTCATTGTGGCAACAGAGCACAGACTGATTTAAGGGTATTCAGCTGTAGTCAGTCTGAAATACTGGGCTTACCGAGTGTGGCAGAAGGTGGAGAGGGTTCCTCCGCCAAGTTCCGGTCACCCAGCCCGTCTGACTTGCTGCCATTGTGAAATGAGTTTAATGTAAAGGCTGTGCCTGTCTACCTTAACCTTGAGTGACAGTGTGCGTGGTGAATTGCCCTAAGGCTGAATGGGACCAGAGTTGGGGCTCTCTGCGTTCTTCCTCATTCTGAGTCCGTGGAGGAGGGGAAAGCAGGGACCTGAGCAGAGGCAGGAAGCAGCCCATCTCAAGAGGTTTTCAGAGTAGAGGTGGTCCAGGGGCACGAGAAGGCGGGTACTAGCTGGGAGTTGCTCCACAGGATTTCAGACAGCTGGGGATACAGGATAGTGGCCCCATCCAGGGGGGGCCATCCCATTCCTGTCAGCACATGTCATCACAATGGGCTCTCCGGTGTCATGGCAAGCACATAGCAGGCTTGCTGCAAGGGAGTTCTCAAGTAGGGCTCAGAGCACAAAGAGGACTTGCTGCCCCTGACACGTTTTGTTGGGGACAGACAATAACCAATTTATCAAATCAGACAATTAGACCCAGAAAGAAAATTAGAAATCCACCAGACCCTCTCCATTTTAGTTAGGGAAGTTGAGGGTGGGTGGAGATGAGACAAAATGATTATCCAAGTATAATGTGCTATAACTAAGGATATTTCTTGTGAAACATTTTCTTATTCTCCTGGGTATAAAGACTGTGTGTGTGGGGGGGGGGCTGTGGGGGTGATGTGGAGGCAGAGGGGAGGAAGAATTAAGAAAATAGCATGGTTGAAATGGCATATTAACAATTCTTTGACATATCTAGAATATGACTTTTCTGATTTGAAGTTTCGCCAGCATTTTTGGTATCAAAGAGCCTTGTCAGGAAGTAAAATCAAGTAACATTTATTGGGTCTCTAGTGGGTACAGCCCAGGTTGGTGCTGTGGGCTGGGGGCTGTGTCAGGCCCCCTGTGTACGAGACGACCAGAGGCACCGGCCTTAGTAGAGTGCCCCCCTGAGCCAGCTGTCTTCATATAGGTCCTGTTTAAAGTAACTGAGTCCAAGTATGTGATCAGGTGCCGAGTGTGTGCGGTGATGAGTTCAGGTGATCAATGCAATAGAGTTCCAAGGAGTTCTCAGACAATTTAAGGACATAAATCTGTTCACTTCTGAAAAACACTGAAAGTGGTCCCCATCTTGTCGAGAGAAAGAAAGCAAATTCTCAGAGCTGAGAGGGGTGTGCAGGGCACCATGGAAGGGGATTGGGTTTTTCCAGGCAGCTTCTCCAAGACAAATGTCCCTTTCATAGTTACTAGCCACCTGCGTGTGTTTTTCCATTTACAGAGCTCAACCATAGAACAGCTTTAATTATGTCCAGTATAGAGATTCGGAAAATGAGAATCAAAGCAGCAAA